CCCAGCCCGCCCCCGGCGACCTGGGCACGGCCGGGGGGATGCTGCTGGACCTGGCCGTCAAGCGCCCTGTGGTCCGGTCGAAAATCAAGGTAACCGCCCGCACCTCTGCTTCTCCTCCCCGGTGATGCGGTGACCCCGCTTGGAGGGCAGGGTCCGGCTGCCGGCCAGGGACGCCGGGTGACAGGGGTCCCGGGGGCGCTCTCTGCCAGAGATGGCAGCACCCGTCCCACACACCAAGATGGAGGCCCGCCAGAGCAGCCGGCCGTTGGACGGCAGCAGCAAGGCAAGCCTTGCAAGCGATGCACCGTAATCTTCCAGTGCCCTTTGCCTTCCCTTATCCCCGCCTGGGACACGCTGCCCCTGACCTGCTTGGCTCGGGTCCCGCAGGAGCTCTGAACCCGGCCAGGAAGGACCAGCCCTGGCAGCGAGGAGTCGTGCCCCATGGTGCATGGGTGGATCTCGTTCCTTAACGTGGGGCTTCCTTAAAAGGCTGCCTTCTAGGCTGTAGTCAAGCCCTCGCCAAGGGGGGCCTCGGTGAACCTTCCCGACACCCTCCTTCCCCTCTTCACTTGCCGAGATAGCAGCTAGGGAAAGGTCCTCCTCCCAAGCTGTGAAAGGCCATTGCCACCTTGAGGTGGACCTGCAGGCTTGGGTGAAATGAAGCAATTATCTGTCCATTAGCCTCACTGAAGAGCCTCTCTGCTGCGCGGGCAGGGGCTCCTGCTGACGGGGTGTCCCCTGGGCAGAGCCTGCAGGACAGAGCCGTGATTTCAGTCCCCAGGCTGAGAAGACGAATCGCTCACTGGCTTCTCGTGATACTGGGGAACCCAAGACCAAGCTCCTGAAAGCGGGGTGGTGATGCAAGTGGGGCAGGAGGACCAGGTCCATCTCTGAACATCCAGGGTTCCCCTTAGCAGATGTGGAGCCAGGCCACCCCAGTGCTAGGAAGGAGGAGATGTGTTTACCGGTGGCTACTTAACACCTCATTAAACCCTGGCTGTTGCTTTGCCGGATGGAGCAGTAAAAATTCCCACTGTCTCTGCTGGGATGACAGCCTTTCGGGCACCACATTATTAATCTCATGATTAACGCTAGGTTTTCACCCTCCGTACATGCGGCCGCACGGGGTGGAGTCCTACCTGTTGCCCAACAGATACTTCCCAGCCGGCTCCCCCTCTAGTTTCACACCTCATGGTTTCGCAGCTGCCTTTTTTTTCCATCTTTCTTTACAATTTCAGGTAGTGTTGCTTCAGTAGTAAGAGAAGGAGGAGGATGGGAAAAATAAGTGGCTCTTCAGGAAAAAAGAAACCCCAAGTATATTCCTCTCTTTATGAAGAGCTTGCTCTGCTGCTGCTTGACTTTAACCTACTTTGTATAATTTAACCTGGGCTATTAGCAACAGTCACAGCGAAACCTCGTTTTGGCAGAGTTGGGTTTGCCCAGTGTGCCACAGAAACTCCCCAAAAGCACCACGAGAGCCGATGGACGTGTGTGTGCGGTGCTGCCCGCTCCGCCAGCTTTCCCTGGCCGGAGCGGCTAGTGGCGAGCACGCCTGCTCCCCCATGAATAATTAAACTAACAGCGACGTATTTGCATCTTCCAGACAGTAAGCCTTCCCTCCGAGGAGCGCTCTCCCAAGAGCTGAATCATCAGTGTCTCCCTTAGTCAAGTTAGGTCATGGTGTTGGCGCAATATTTTTGGTGTTAGGAGCGGGAATGAGGAGACTAACCCCTAATGACACCCTGCCGTTAATTAACGAACCAGGGAGACCAACGGGAGCAGATTAGTGCCATTGTTTTGGTCTCTGCTGAGTCAGCGCAATGTGCCTTGGTTTATCTTGCCAAACCTACCTTTTTTTACACCCCTGGCTGGTTTTTGAGGGACCCATAGCAGCTGGAAGTGTGATTAGCGAAGGCACCGCATGGGTATGACTTTCTCATGCCAGGGAGGGTCTCCTGCCTCTGGCCAGGAGAGTCTGAGTGCTGGAGCAAAGACACGCATGGCCCCATGGAGAGGTGCTCGTAGCCTAGATCTGCCTGCTTATGGGTGTAGCTGGATGAGGCTCTCTGCCTCTGAAAGACATATCCAGCACACAGGCTTTGGTTTAACTCCCAAAGCCAAGCCAGCCAGCATCGCATCGGCCCCAAACCGTGCACGTTAAGTCACCCGCTTGACTGCAAGGGAAGCGTGAAGGTTTCACCCAGCAAGAATCTCCTGAATGCTTTCACTTTTCATTTTGAACGTATCCCAAGAACTTTTTAATGTGACAATAAGCCATCCCACCTTATTTTTTTATTTTTTTTTTTGTTTTCTGTTGGCCTTTGTCATCCCCATGCCTACTCACCCTGTCCTCTTCCATTCCGTAGTTCACCACCGGCACCTGTAACGATGCTACGGTGCATAGCTGCGAGCTGTGTGGCAAAGGCTTTCGCCTGCAGCGGATGCTCAACCGTCACATCAAGTGCCACAGCCAGGTGAAGAGACACTTGTGCACCTTCTGTGGAAAAGGCTTCAACGACACCTTTGATCTGAAAAGACATGTCCGGACCCATACCGGTAAGAACGCATTCCCCGGGGGCTTGCAGAGGGCTCTGGGCAGCGGGAGGTGGGAGAAGGGGTGAGATGGGACACGGGCAGGGGGTGAGGGTAACCCATCAAGACAGTAATACAAAATCCAGGTAACCAACAGTTGCAAAAAACAGCGGGGATGTGGTAGAGGAAAGGGAAAAACGCGAGTGTGGGCAGATAAAAGCCCTGGGACTAATGAAATCTGAGAAGAACTAGTGAAATCCGTGTGAAGCAGCGTGGGTGCATGAGCTGCCATCCAGGCCTGGCGTAGATGTGCACGTGTGCTGCTGTGCCTGGGTCAGCGAAACCGGGGTAACCCACCCGGGGTAACCCAGCCGGGGTAACTCACCGCGCGCTATTGCCAGCCCAGCACGTACCGGTGAGCGCCGGCGGGCCGTGGATGAAAATGCTTTGCCCTCTAGAGGCAATGAGCAGCAGTTTCTTCGGTTTTTTGAGAACCTTCCCTGCTGGCCATCCCACGGGATGGGGTTATGGCTTGATTTTTGCACCATCTGGAGAAAACAGAGTGTGGTTCGTGCTGTGCCTCCAGCTTCTTTAGGGAAACTAGGCAACACCTCTGACTTCTGCTAGCCACGCACGCTGCATCCCCGCCTGCTTTGGGCTACCAGCTCCCCCAGCCCCCTTTCGGAGCCATTCCCCTCTGCACGCCCAGCCATCCAGATCAGTTTGGCCACTGGCCTGAACTGTCTCTACTCACTTGTCATGCTGGTCACAGCATGGGCTGAAAATCAGGGGCAGTGGGTTGAAAATCTCCCAACAGCAGTTCCTGCTCTGGATTGAGGGGAGGTAAAAGAGTTGCCTCTGACCTGGGCTAGTTTCCCTCCTCCCTGCCTGCATCTACACCAGGTGTACAGGCATAACTGAGGATGCTGTGATTTAAGCCCACGATGGCACTGGAAGAAAGAAAAATTGTCCCTTTCCTTCTCTGCTCACTCTTGCTCCCCAGTTGCCCCCCCGGGCTGGAGGGATGCACTGTCCGTGGTCGCTCTGCAGTGGGGCTGGGTCGGTTCCTGAGCCCACTCCAAACAGCAGGGGTTCTGTTCCTTTGAATTGCACTGGTTGCCTCAAACCCAGCTTACTGGTCACAGAACCAGTGCTTGTCCTAACCTGGAGCAGGGAGAAGGCTGCCTTTTTGTTTCTCTTTCATCTTTTTCTTAGTGGAAGCGATGGCTTACATACCTATCAACCCTGTCCTCACCAAGCAGGGCACTTGCTGGCAGGCTGAGCTGGCTGTGCTCAGGAGGTTTTGGATCCACCACATGTCCCGGGCACCTTCTGTCTTTCCACATCTGCGTTACCTACGGGACCTGCCAATTATTTGGGCTCGCTCTGCAATGTCCCTTTTTTGGCTTAGGCACCATTAACCAGGCGCGCTGCTAAGAGGTGACGCAAGTACATTGGTGGGCGGGAGTTGTTCCTTAGCACAAGAGCTCACGAAGACAATGCTGCCTGTTTCGATGGGAAAGCACTGGCCACAGCCAGCGTTTTGGACTGTTTGGGTTTGTTTGCAAAGCTGTCATGTGGAAAGGAAAGCTGCTGGCTGCAAGCGGGGAGCTGCCGCTGGGGCATGGCTGAAGCGTGGAGTTGGTGCTTCTGAACGCAGTGATTTGTCAACCCGTCCCCTCATCCTTTGAGATTCAGAAACTAAATCCAAGAGGGTCTCTGTTCAGAAGCTAAAAATACACATGTGCTGTGGCAGGTAGGGTTGAACTCGCTATGCAGGAGTAGAGAGAATTTCGCAAAACTCTAGAAGGGAGGAAAGATCTTTGTACTGGACGGGAGTGAAAAACCACTGCTCTGGAAATGTGAATCTTGTGGTTAGATCATCCCCAAATTTACTATAAGAAATCTGGCGCCACCGTTTCTCCTCTCTAGCATAAAGCCAGGATGAGCACTCGCATGTATTGTGTTTGCCTGGTGCCTTGGGTCATGGGGGCCATGAAGGCTGGCTGCAGCAAGGGTACTGATAGCATTTTGGCGTGTGTCTTTTCCAGGCTGAAACACAGCTTCTCTGAAAGCGGTGGCCTTTTTTATGTCCAGTATGATTGCTGTTCAGTAAAGCTGGGCTATATTTGAATGCTAAAAAGAAGACAAATAAGCTGGAAGTGGTAGCGTTGGCTTTATTTTGTAGCTATGGGTGCTCATCTACATGTGCTTTACTGAATTTCAGTGTTCCAGTGGAAAACGCCATGCAGTGTTTGTAACCAGATTCTGCAACAGTAGGGTAGCGTCAGAGTGAAAGCCAGACATCCCAGCCTAGCTTCACAGCATAAGGAGGCTTAAACATTAAAAAGTAACTAATATACACATTAATATCAAATTTTAAGATGACTCCTAAGTAAAGAAGAGGTTGCCACAGCCCTGATGGGCTGTGCCATCCTGGCACTAGCCTGCTTGTGCTTGTGCTCATACCCGTGGAGCGCTGTTGGCATCAGAAACCAAGGATGGTGAAGGTTTAAATCGCCTTCCGATGAGCACAGAATGGCACCCAAAATACTGTTTGTAAAAGGTACATTTTTGCGTGTGAATTCTCATGAAGATTTGGAGTTTCTTTCCAATTGCAGTTTAATGTAACTGAAGCAGTCTCAGAGTGGGTAGGTGTTAGGAAACTTCAGTCTTGATAGTTTAAGCCAGTGCACTGGGATAACCTCCTTTTACAAGACTTGCAAAAATGCAGTCAAGAGGCTGCTTATGGGAACTTGTGGTCAGTTTGGATTTCTGGCAGAAAGATCAGCAGCCGAGAGATTAACTTAATGCAAGCTGATTAGAGAGTCACAACTGTCTGCATGAACATGTGTGCTTTACCCGTTTTTGCTTGGCTAATACTCACCATAGGGCCAGTCTTCCACACACTCGCGTTTCACCTTTCCTTGGGAAGAGAGAGGGGTTTAGGTAACTCCTTGCATCAGTTTTAAGGCTGGTCTTTGCTTGAAAACTTACTGAGACAGTCTAGTAAGTAAAATCACAACTTTTTAAGGTTTTTTTTTCAAGTGTCTATAAACCCTCAGCTATTTGTCATTCAAGTACTGGGAGGTTGTGATGGTTAAACCAGTGCTGATTGGGGGTAAAATGGGTAAGTTTTACAGCTCAGTATTTTTATGATGTTGGTTGTCTGTACTGAAGGAAACTGCTCGGGCATTCAAATCACAAAGCCAGGCCCTTCTCCCTCCTCTGGAGCCACACATACCTATTTCTTTCATCTTAATGCACTTCTCTTCTAGAACCTCAGCTTGTAGTCTCAGTCACCACATCTATATTCTGTGAAAACGCTCTCACTCGTTTGAAGTCCTGTGATCGCTGTACGTTCACCTTGGGCTGCCGTTCACCAAAGCCTCACTAAGCTTTGCTCACTGAAAGAGAAAAATTAACATCTTGCTCAGATAGAACATTTTGTGTTCAAAATGAAAGGTTAGCTGAAACCCATAGTTTTACCTAATCACAGGACTTCAAAAAGTCCTAAAGGAGTTGGTCTTGCAGGAGTTGGTAACGGCTGCTTCTTTAGGACCAAAGCGCCGATGAGCGCCTGTTATCCTCAGCATCTGCCTACGTCTTCTCGAAACGTTTCTAGGTTTTCTATGTATCAACCCATTACTGAAAATTTTAGCCTGAAAGTAAGGTTTTTTTATTTAGACAGTTGGTTCTTGGGGCTATGAGCTTGCTACTTCTGGGTATTCGCTCAATAGCTGATAGGCCAGAACCTTGCTCTTAGCCGGTTCCTTACTCGTCCGTAAGAGACGCAAACCAGAACGGTAATCGCTGTCTTTTAACGTTGTAGGAATTCGTCCTTACAAATGTGAGGTTTGCAACAAAGCCTTCACCCAGCGCTGTTCCCTGGAGTCCCATCTTAAGAAGATTCATGGCGTGCAGCAGCAATACGCCTACAAACAGAGGCGAGATAAACTTTACGTGTGCGAAGACTGCGGCTACACGGGCCCCACGCAGGAGGACCTGTACCTGCATGTTAGTAACGTTCACCCCGGAAGCGCTTTCCTGAAAAAAACCTCAAAAAAACTTGCAGCGGTTTTGCAAAACAAACTGAGCCCTGTCCTGCAGAGGAACTCCAAAGATGACGACAAAGATGAGTAACACGGTGGATTACAGTGGTCTAAAGGAATGAAGTTTACATGTAGGACTATATATATATATATTATTTTTTTAAAAACAATTTTTAAATAATTCCCTGAAATGAAAGGGATGCTTTTGTTAACGGGACTCTCTTGATGTTGGTAGAACCTCAACTTGAAAGACATATTCCCATCTACGACGCAAACATCAGACTTTTCTATCTGGCCAAAAAAAAAAAAAAAAAACCAAAAAAAAGGAAAGCCTGGAAGAGGCCATCACCTCTGGGACGGAGTATTTACTGAACCGACACCCAGGCAACCTGTCTTCTCTTTCAGCTCTACCACACGTCCGAGCGGCCACTGACAAATAAGCTCACCTTTCCCCCGTGTATTTTGTATAGATAATAACCGTTACCTCCCGAACGAATTACTTCTGAGAGGTTTGGGTGAAAAGTGCCATGTAAGAGCAGCTACTCGTACATCGTTCTATGCAAAATTAATTAAAATGGTCTTAAGAACAGGAGAACACTGCAGCAGTAAATAAGATAAAACGTGCAAATAACCTTAACTCTGCCCCCTGTGCAGCCAACCAACGATTTATGGAAGCGTGATCCAAGGTGAACTGAAACTTTTTTAAGGGATACCAAACTTTTTCCTCCCAACCATTCTTTGCTGGCAAGTGGCATTACTCCAGGGCAGGCTTATGGTCGTGTTTTAGGTACTTTAAGCTGTGAACTTATTTTATCACATTTAGATTTAAGTGTAACCTTAACTCTGATGTTCCTGGACTTGTCATGCTCACTTTGGGGATTATTACCAAGCCCTTTCAACATACAGCAATACCAACCCGAAACCCCAAAGAAAAGACTTTAATGACTTGAAGATATGTGTTTTTCTGTCACGATGAAATGCAGTTGTGTGTGTATTTTATGGTGCGTGTGCGTGTGTGTTAATTAAGGGATTTTTTTTTTTTCTTTTTAATGCTCAAGTGCCTGTTCACTAATATGACAGGACAGTGCCACGCAGCAAGAGGGAGACTTAGCCCGTCTCTGCCTCGTGAGATCAATGCAAAACCGTAGGCGCGAATCTGGCCTCTCATCTGTAACCACTGTCAGTTCAGAAGGCTCCCCGCGAGACTGATGCTACGAGGGAAGGATGAGGGACTGGTACTATGACTCTGTGCATTTAGGACTCCCCTTGTTCCTGCTCTAGCTCTTGTTGACCCTGGACAACCAAGAGGGTAGCCTGCAGGGACTATTGAGTGTGAATTTAGGGATTTAAGAAAAAATAAAGGGAGAGGGATGCCCATGTAACTCATGTTGCTGAAACTGCCTGACACTTTAAGACTCTTCAGAAGCTGCTGCAGAATTTACTGGGCACTTGGGTGCCCGTACTAGGAGCGACAGGGCGGGGTGGCAACTTCCTCAGCAACCACAAATACTCTGGTCCAAGTGCATGTTATTCATCTGTCTCTCAACTTAATGGACACAGACACTAAAAAGGTTTTACATCAATTTAAATGCTTAACAATTAATGGATCTCATTTGTAAATTCCAAAAATCCATTTTGTGCTCAAAATAAAGCTGTGCAGTTGGGGAGGGTACGCTGTATTCTGTATTTGTTGAAACAACAGCTAAAAAGTAGCCCGCCTAAAATACAGTCGTAGCCAGGGCCTTCGTAGTCATTACTACTGAAAATGACAGATGCTGAGCGTCCCTGCAAGAACAGTAAAAATCTTCCCCATTTGCCTCAGTTTTGTACAGGCCTCTGCTTGGGTTTTTGTGGGGAAAAGCTTCTAGGGGTTTTAAAGCGTTTCTAATGATATTAATACTTTATTCAGCACAACTGTCGGTGCTTGGGACCTGGAACCGAGGGTAATAAAGTGATGCTACTGTGTAAAGAACAAACTTGTCATCCTATGTAAAGGGAAAGTCTGCAGAATCCTTTAATAAATGGGAAGTCCACAGGGAAAAAAGCATCTGAGGTAAATTAGAAGATCCTTACTTTGCAAAAAGAGCCAAAGCCTTTGTGCTGATCCCCAGTTCTTCTAAGATCATGCCATTATAACCGAATGGTATAAAGGGAAGGTTGCTCGCTCGGAGCGAAGCATCCGTGCTTGCAAATGCATTGACAAAACTGCCGGGCTAAGAAAAGCGTTTACAGCTGGTTCAGCCACTTGTGCTGGCAGCGCTCCCCTGCAGCCCGCTCAGGGAGGGCTCAGTCATGAAATGGAGCTGTGGAGGTCGGCTCCTGGGTAGGACTTGAACAGAGTCCATCTGAGCCAAGTGACTAGCACTCGCCTAACTGCAAAGGGCTTGTGTGCTCAGCTCTGCTGAAATCTCAGCCCTTACGCTGGAGCAGTGGAGCAGCAGCTGAGACCCTCCCCGTCTAGCTGGAGACACATTCTGTGTATATGTGTGCACGCAGCTGTATTTTTTTCTCCCTCCTGTAGCAAACATTTCTTTTGATTTCCCTCCAACATCATTGCCAAAGCATGTCCCTGCTGAAAGAACTACAGACACATTAAGGCAGTCCATCTATGTGAGCTCAGTCAAAGAAAGCGTTTGCTGCAACAGAGCAAAGCAGCAGGTAACTGCACGGAAAAAAAAATAATGCTCTGGATGGAAAGCAAAGCTCTGACAAGCTGAATGCTATACCTGGCGTCACTGCCCTGATCGTCTGGCTGGTTTTGCTGCAGAGGACAGATACGCCCTGTAGCAGATGCCTCGGGCATGTCAATTTAACAGTCTGGCAAGTTAGTTTAAACGGGTCACAAAGCGGGTTTGAGTTTGCATGACATCACTGGCAACAGCCATCTGCCAGTTCTGTTACAGGACAAAACTGGCGCTGGCTTGTGCCTCTACAGAAACGTTCCAGAGCTCACACAGGAGCCTGCTGGAGGCAGACAGACTTTCAGAAGTGCCAGACACCAGTAACTTCCACTGCTACTGTCTTTGAAGGCTGCCTGCCTTCTCCTGGCTCTCTGGTGGTACAGACTCATCCAAGACTTAAAGAGAGCTTTACCAACTAACACCGCTAGCAAAGCTGGGAGCCTTCCTTGGACGCGAGGTTTTTGCTAAACAAATGAACACAGGTGAAGCCAACAGGTGCCCGCACTGCCCAGGCTCCAGCCTCGTCCTTATTTACTAGGAGGCAGGATGGGGCTGAAACCTGACATGGTTCAGACAGCTGATGGCTGTATGATGGATGCACTGATAAAGAAACATCCCACCCAAATGTTGCCCATCTGTTTCACGCTCTCTTGATTTATCCAATCCCAATCAACACAGGGAATTCAGCAGGTATTATCACCTTCTGCTTCCGTCCAGGGCTTATGCCCACCCTCTTCGTATCCACAGAGCCGTCTTTCACAGAAAATTGACCATGTTCAGTGACGTTGAACCACCCACCCGCTAAAATGCTGTGATGTGGGAAGATACTTGTAAAACAGGTAGAACTGAGCACTCACGCAGCGCCGTCGTGGCTAGTCATCTCTGAACCCAGTTTCTCAGTCTCCACGTTTGCCTTTTTAGATAGAAATCTAATTAAGCACAGAGTAATCATACCATCACCAGACCAGGTTTGAATAAGCAAATACCGCTATAACTAAGTTTCATTGCACAGGTTTCCACTGCTCAGTTCTCTGAAGGAGCAGAGATTAAGCACTGTAGAGGCTTAAGTTTCTTCAGCAGCAAGCCTGCCCATTGGGGGTTTTTTTTGGGTATGGTTCTGGCTGCTTTTCTTGAAGCTTATGGGTTCGTCCTATTTTTATTTGTAATCTGCAGTGTTATTATGAAAACTGATACGGTACAATTCAGAGAAAACAAAGAAAATGAGGAAAAAAGCTTGCCAGGTGTGCAACACACAAAGCAATATTGCCTGACATCATCAAGGCTTATTCATAAAATCAAGTCTATAGACAGAGAAACAAGCTTCAAAAATAACTCTTCTGTTTTAGAACACTTATTCACAAACTTGTTTTAAAAAAACCCAGCCACCCACAGCCCCAAAAAACCCCAATCAGCAGCTCTTCATTCCTCAGAAGGCCTGGCTTCAAAGTCACAAGCCTGCTCTTATAAAGAAACTTCCTCGCACTGGCAAACGGTGCAGCTTGGCACGGGAGGTGGTGGGCTCCTTGTCTGCTCAGACCCACAGCACAGTCAGGAGAGCTCAAGAGAGTTGCAGATTTGGCCTGCACAGAGCCTCACAACCTAAGGTACAAAGCCTGTTTACAGTTCTTTCATGTGGGCCGAGCAGCCTGTTAAGAAACCTGCAGGAGGAGCCACTAGAAGCAGTCAAACTTCCTACCTTTCAGAACACTTGCTGGAAATTTCTAAGTGCATCGGTTACAATTCCGCTCCTCTTTTGCTAAGCCACTTCTGCTAAACGATCACTTTGCCTCAGTATTTTAAATAAGTGCTTATGAGAACTTTGGTTATAATTCTTAGCGCAGTTTTTCCAGTTGTTGCTGTAAGAAAAACCACAAATCGTAACAAGCCTGTTAATAGATACCTTTGAGATGAGCAAGAACTAAGCTGACTGAAACCCAGTCTACTATGTTAATTTGTTTATCGTTTGCATTTCTCCCGGCTCAGACAATGCAGATGTCATTTTGCTTTAGTTCACCAACTTAATTTTCAAAGTCTCAGTTCTGCAACAGTTTTCTTCTCAAAAATGACAAAAGAAGGATAATTTGATTGAACAGTTTTACTTGATAATAGAAACCTTCCTATCAACCTCAGGTTGTATAAACTCTGTGGGGAAAAACAGCAATGAATTAAGTCGGCTTTGTCCTGCCAGTTCCACTTAAGTCCCCTACAACGTAAGGAAATACACATTCCCCACTTCAGGATTTCTTTCTTTTTTTTTTTTTTTTTTTTTTTTTTTGGGGGGGGGGGGAACCCCTGATATTAAGAAATTAGCCAAAGTTACTCAAAAAAGAATATGTATTGAAATGAAATATTTCAACAAAGGATTCTTGCTTTGGCTCTGTGCTCCAAAGCCACTTGTCTCTGCATAGCTTAGTTTGGGTCAGTTTCTGTCCATGTACTCTTCAAGGCGCAAAAGCCACTTATTCCAGTACTGCGAGCACAGATCGGGATCCATGAAATGCGGATGCGCAGGGGAGCCATTCTTATAGGCAACCACAATGAGTCCACAGCTAACCTACAGGTAAAACAAGAAGGCTGTCAGAAATTCAGTGTTAATATGCAACTTCAATCAGCAGTTCTGAACATTAAACCTCACTGCAAAACATCATCCTTAACATATAAGTACCTTAAATAAGAAATGGGGAACACAAAGAGCAATAATTAACCATAAAACACTTGGAGACTAACATTCAAACGCTGAGAGTTCAAAGCTCTGATTCACCTTGGTGAAAACTAGAGGACTCAAACTCTGAGTATCAGAATGATAGGGCCTATTTAAACCTTTCAGATGCTGGTAAAATTCCCAGTGACTGATGAGGTTTTGCCTGAGGTCATATAACCAGACTGATGCCATTCTCCATCATCAGTCTGAATGGAAATGGTTACTTAGCTGTGTTCCGACATCTTTCATACTTGACAAACAGCTCTAATCCAAACCCCACACAGCTACTGGGGTGAAGAGAAAGTGGTGGGGGACAGGAAGCTAATAGCAGAATTCTAGAATTACAGCACATATTTTGCTCTGTAAGGACCATGTCTGTTAAGTGCTTCTGTTTACTGATCTTTATAATATTCTAGAAAGTCCTCTGAAGAACCTGTGAATTACCCTGCTCTCTTCTGCTTTATATTTTTCCCCTTCAGTGCTTTGTATTGAAACAATGATCCTTCAGGCCAAGCAGGCCTGGCTAGAATTGCACTTGGAGTCTTTAAAAACATTATTCCACTGTCTTCTGATTAAGTTATTGACAACACACTGCTTTCCTCTGAGGAAACACTGTACGGCTTCCAAACACTCTAAGTAAATCACTTATTCCCCTGTTTGCTAGTGAGACATAGCAACACATGATGCAAGCAATGCCCTCCCACCCCATTTCCCTGTTTGCACGCTCTTTGGCTTTGCTTCCTCTCCTCCCCCTTCCTACTCTTAACACAAGCAAAAGCCACACAGAAGAAAGCACTCGGGGTTGCCCAGATGCGAGTCACTCGAGTTCATCTGACATCCTAAGATGCTCGGCATCCCTGGGTCCCACTGAGCAGTTCCTTAAAACCACTGAAAATATAGTGCTGACAGGCAAAGGCAGCAGGATTAGCAAGAGTAGTGGAGTTACTTCACAAGATGTCAGCTTAAGCTGATCTAAAACTGGGCTGCCTTGTTACAAATCCTACCAACAGTTCCACGCTGGACAGCAGGTGCTAAAGGCAGTAGGTGGGGAGAAATGAAAATAACTTGGGCACTGCTACTTGCCTTGGCATGTAGCAGGCCTACTGACCTGGAAGTCGTAATTGGCATCGTGATTTATGGCTCCAATATATGCTGCAACCTGTAAGGGGTTGTCAAAAGTATTCTTCAGATATGGCTTTGGTTTCTCTGAAGTCTTCCAGTCAATCACACACAACTGGCCTCTGCATAAGAGAACAAGATAGGACAATGTTTTAAACTTAAGTTTAGTCATAGTAAGAAACAAGTGATGGGACAGCAAAGAAAGTCGTATCACTCTCAGCCTGTTTCACCCTGATGTCATGTTGCTCATTATTATGTCTAAGAAAGTCTTTTCCACACTGGTAGTTCAGATCTTAAAAATCAAGACGTACTAACATCTGCTGCAGCTCCAGGTAACTGCTGAGAAGCACTTAACCCTGCCCCGCTTATACCCTGCTCCAGTGAGGAACTCTCCACAAGAAACAACAGTGCTTCTGTCACTGGGTTCTGTCTGAGTTCATCAATTTCGCCGCTCTTAGAGATACGTCCAGCTTCCCCCCCAACAGCTCACCAACACATCTGCTCCAGCTTGGGACACAGCCTCCCACGCACCACGGAACACCACACAACACTGGCATTAACAGGTTTCTTACAGAACCAGTACCTCACCGATACTTAGCCACGCAGTCTACCAGGCCCAGATACTGAATTTTTCGGAACCGCACTTTCCAGAGCTTTCACTTCGCTGATATCTTTTAAGACATGTTGTGCGCTTGATAAGTAGCCGGAAATAGCAACATCTTCTCTCTGCTCCTTAGTTTCCACCTCTTCAGACAGGAATATAGATTCCAAAGCTGCATGAAAGAGCTCTCCTTGGAGGAAGAGATCTAAGAAAAATGTGAACCCCCCCCATATTTTAGACACTACTCATAATACCTAATGGACTTGTATTCTAGACATCACACAACATAGCTCTTAAACCAGTCCTGGTTTTTGTACTGAAAGCTTGAGGATGTAGAGAGGAGAAGAGAATGAGACAGAAAAATAAATTGTCAACAGTGAAATTTGTATCTCTATACTTACTTTACTTTTTTGGTCTCACTAATTACTCTGAAACAAAATACGATTTTTAATTTATTGTTTATCCAAAGGCATTTGTGAATTTCTACAAATTAAAAATATTATTGTAGGCTGCTTTTCTTGCATTTGCTTCTTCTGCTGTCTTGGTTCATTTGAATGGGACTAATCTCCTGAAATGGGTGGGCATAGTTCTAGGAGTAAGGGCTTATCTCGGAAATTATTCCAAGAAAGATAAATTTTAAATAGTTATGTAAGGTTTGTTATGCCACCTTATTCACTGAAGTGCTTAGTAACTCAAAAAGCATAACCACAGGACATTCAGTTTTAAAAAGCACAATAATTCATGTAAGGAGCACTTCGGTATTTATCAACCTTGCTACAAGAGGCCACCTACTATCTCCCAGGTCCTCCCAGACACACTCCAGTCCTACAGCTTGGAGGAAGTCACCTTTGTAGGTCTTACAAAATGAAAACCTCAAAGTGCATGGCAATTTCACAGAGGAGGCTATATATATACTGGACAAACTAAATAGTTACTGAAGAACTTTAACATAAACAGCAAGAGCCACAGGTTTTTAAACACTCAAGATGATACAATTTCAGAATACTTATTTCCATCTCATTACAAAGTAGCTCTGTATCTGCAAACAGGCTCAATAACATCATCTGGAAACTATCTCTTTGCAAATAGATACTAGCAAATAGAGAAATAAAGGAGAGGCAGGTAGGATAGAGCAAAGAATGTCTACAGTCTAATTCTCATTTCCCACACACTTCTGAATCCATTTTAATGGTCCTAGAACAAATACCAGAGCTTGGATTCATTGATAACAGGTATGCTCATAATATGCTCTCGCCTCTTGAAATGGAAACAACTTAATGGATTTCCAAAACACTTGACTTCTAGGGCCAGATACTGCAGCTATGCTAGCACGTCCCAGCCAGCTATCCAGACTATTGCTTCTACTTTGCAATCACACTGGTTAGACTTACTTTTAGTATACTCCGCAAAACCATCTTTTCCAAGTTCCAGTATCATTTTCTGCTTCCATCTTTCTAGATAAAAGGCTTGCTGTGGAGAAAGAGTCTGTTGAAGAATACGGGTAACACTGGGCATTTTTGTTTTTTGTAAAGCGATTTTCATGGGGCGGTTCGAATCACTGTTGAGAAGGGGAATTCTCTTGTTGGGGTTTATTAAAGGAACCCAGTTCTTGGGAGTTTTTGATTCAGCTTTAACTGAAGGTCTGTGTTTATCCGGTGGCCCATATAACATATTGTCTTCTTCAAATATTGTCTCTGGTGTTTGGGCACTGGTTTTGTAAGATGTAACAGAGTAGACCAAGTTCTTGTATTTTTCTTGGTCAACTTGTTCATAACTGTTCACTTTTTTCTTCTTGCTATAAAGACACGTGGATGTAGCCAGACACATATATGGGAATCGCTTTTGGCAAAAAGGTATTTGAAAAAGCATTTCCAGTTTCCCCAGTTTCCTGGGCAGTAGCTCTAGGAATTTCATTCTGACGAGAAGCATTTGTGACTAGTTAGAGTTTTCCTCCTTCTGTTAGGAACAGTCTGTAGGTTACCATATTTTCCCCCTGTGGAAAAAGAAATTTGTGATTTCCAGAGCCGTAAAACTCTACCATCAACCTATTTTTGCCCTTTGCCAAACAAAGAACAGCAGTGTCTTCATACACCTTATGCCACCAAAACTCCTTTAGATAAATAATACAATAAGAGAAAGAATCAGTAAGCAACGAGAAGAAATTATCTTGAAAAGAACTGGTGCTGGTCTGAAAAATCTGCAAAACGGCAAACACATAAAGATGTTGCAAGTTGCAAAAGCTGCAGCAGAGGATGCTCGTATAGCAACAGTATCAGAACTGTCATGAAAGTAGACACAAAAAAACTGATCTGCAACAAATAACCCCCCAAAAGAGAGAGGGGGAAATTAAAAAAAAAAAAAAAAGGCTATGCAGAAGAGAATGAAGCAAGTCCATTGTTGCGTGGTATTAAACACATGTAAGTTTATAGTGGATGTCCAACTTCAGGGGATTGTGGGGAAAAAGTAGCTTGTGAAGAATAAAAACATGTTTTTCTTTTGTATACCTAGGACAAGGCAGACAGCGGCAGTGTATGTGTTCTGAAATTGGGAGACCCAAGACTGGGAAAGCCAAAGAGAAACCAGATGTACTGAAGTACCTTCAGAGTCAAATAAATCTTTTAAAGAGCAGAGCAACATATAAAAGTATTTTTCTAAACTGAGTTTCAAATGCAGTTGTGTTCTAGGACACTTAGGAAGTTTAAAAGAAAAACAGTATACCAGAATTACTGTTCACATAGCTTTGAAAACTGTATTACAACTGCAGTGCTAAGTTGTAGGGAAGTTTATGCAGATGGATAAAATGTAAACACTTGAATAGTTGCGTTTAAATCAACACTAAATACTTGCAGAATTATCTGCTTACCATTACAAAGTTCCCTTCCATCCACCGCAAACAATGAATACAGGAAACACACAATGCCAACTAAGATCAGCATTTTGTTCCTGAAAATACTTTAATGGTGCTCTCTTTTCTTTCCCCACACTTCTTACACAGCACTTCATACACTGCCCAAACCGTAGGCGCCACAGAAAACAAAAATGTAGTAGTAGGAGTTATTTTGTACAGACAGATCCTGCACTCAGGCAGAACTGCAGTGACACCAACGTGTGGGTGCAGGCATCTGTCACACAGAACAGTTTGCAAAAAAAGGGGCTGTATCAGCTGCGGCTAATGAGATCAAGGCATCTTGTAACACGAGGCTGAGACCTTGGACTTGGGTTCCATAAATATTGTTCTTCATCTGTGAAGGACAAAACCCTCCATCTGTAGAGGTTTAATCAGGAGTAGGCAGATACACTGCTTTTTTTCTTTACTGGCTGTACATTTTCATGCTGACTTTGTACGGCTTGGGCAAATAAGAACTATTCTGTAACCTGATGGCATGTAACCGGATACAAAACCTTTTGTCAAAAGCAAATCCGAACCAGGAAAACACAATTAGGTTGGATCAGAACCTTGTGTCATGCAGCAGTGGCATTTCTGACCCAGTACTGGGTGCCCTACAGCCAGATTTGCCGTATTCTTATAGATGGTTTCACTCAGTCTTTAGTAAGCGTTTCCTGTAATTACAATGCATATCAATCTAAATAGCTAATGATTTTAAAACTGCTTCATGGTCCATAAAAGAGTAATAGAGGAAAATAATGAAAGTACCAACTGGTTAATTCCACTACTGGAATGGGAAACCTTCCCATTTAAGATACTTTGAATGTGTCACTTTAATTATTACATCATACTTAATATCGAACCAAATCTAGATCTGCTTTCCTTATCCAGCAATCGGGCTAGGTGGAGTTGCACTTGTGTTCTCATTTTCCAGTGAGCCCAGCAAGAACGGACATGACTCCCACTCTGAGCATCCTCTGACCTTCAGATTCCTGTCAAAACTACTCTCCTGCCTGCACATGAGAAAAGCGCAGTCAGGCACATTACGGAAGAACAAATCAGGCAATTTCAACCATTTTATTGTCACATAAGTATGCAAGTCTTGCCAAAAAAAATAGAACAACCTGCTTTAGACAGGCTACACAGCAGCAAGAAATTGGATTGTCTGTGTTCTGTAATTTAAGTTCTGCCCTGCTTCATTTCGGGGACATGTGAGGAAGCTTTACAAATTTAGGTTGAAACAACCAAACTTTACATTACCTCTCATTTCTTATATGATGGCAAAAAACTGTTTCTACAGCTTGCTAGAAATTTGTAATAGCATAAATAGGTACTTTTTATGAAGCATACATGTTTCAATTTTTCAGTTCTCCTTGGGTTTTCAGTCACTGAATTTTGTATGTCTTCACTACTACTACTACCAATTGTTCCAATGAATTTACTTTTAAGAAGCTCCCCATGTTTTATCATTTAACTATCAGAAAACAGCTCACTTCTGCAAAGCTGCTATGCCAGCATTTACAGCAACTCATTCTTCTCAGAAGACAATCACATTTTTTAATAATTTGTTGGTTACCTGACAGAATCTGCCCCTTGCTGAAAATGAATGGTGTTAGCACATTACAGTAGGTGTCAGTTTGCTGCAGCAGGTAACAAAAACGGGTAAAAGCAGCAAAGGGATACATAAAGGTCAGACTTTAATACCATAAGCAAATTGCTTCACCATATTTTTTTCATTTTAGAAAGCAGTGCAGAAAAACTAATCTCTCCTCTCTTGGGGTTTGCCTCTAAATAGAGCTGCTGAAGCTGTGCTTTAAAATAAATCAGGGAAAAAAATTACTCTTATTCCCATGTAATAGTATCCAAGCTTGCAGCTTCTCAGGCTACTGTTTGATGACCACGCTTACCCAAGTGTATTAATCAGAACAGAATAAACACTGGGCCAATGACTGCGTATTTGCTACATTAGCCAGAGCACAAAAGAAAAAGTTTATTCTGGTGTTGTGTCAGCTGTAGGAAGCAAGATGACACCCTATCCAGAATAAAGTTCACTTGCAGTAAGCTGCCCCCTCAATATTCTTTAACAAATAAATTTATACTAGACCAGTGCTTTGAATCATGGGGCTATTAAGACATGCAATATTACAAAATAACACCAATGCAGTGTGTCAGTAATGTCTATTAAGAATTTTAAATTAACAGCCCATTTTGTTCTGGAGTAGTATCTGTGGAAATGTTTGTGTACTCTATGAACTGAACCACCAGGGAAGGGAGAGTCTGCTGGCTGCTGTGCTGTTCTACCAAAGGAAGGAGGATTGCTAATAAATAAAGAATGTTTGTATCTAGCAGAATAAAGAATCATGTGTTTTTCAATAAATCACAGTGGCATTTCTGTGCAAATAACTTACATTTACAAAAAAGAACCGGAGTTGGAGTGGTCTGGATCTACTCTCATACATAAAGAACAGAATTTAATGGATATTTCTCTCAGAGTAAGTGTCTCCCTTCTCTCTGAAACAGTTTGTGTTCGAAGACTGGTAGAATTGCTTCAAGTATTGCATGATGAGCCACACTGGAGAACTTAACACAAATAAAATAACCTGGGGAAAAAAAAAAAAAAAGCTAGTTGACTTTGCAGCTTTGCACTAACACAACTGAGGAAGTTTTTCCAGGATAGGAACGAGTGGCCTAAGTGAGGGAAACAAAAAGGTTTACTTGAGCAAATCCACTGATGAAGGTGTAATTTTAAGTTAACATGACAGGCTTTTTTCTGTGAAGATGTATTACTACTTGATGTAGAAAGGCAGGAGTAACCTATCTTTTGGTTGGAATGACCACTTTCTCTTTTCCAGTTACAGCTTAATAATGCAGGGCTTGGACAGCTGTCACCTTGCACACTTGCCCATTCCCTGCCTTCAACCTCTCCTCCTTGGTTCCTTGCAGTTTGTAAGCTAAATCATTGAACGTATCCAGGTCAAAAATACGTCTCCCTCTTTTGGGAAGTTAAGAGCACAGGAAGAAAAGGGAGATATAAATTTAGCAACCCCACAAGCCTGGAGAGCTACATTGGACCAAAGAGACAACAAGCTTCAGCACTAGGAAGGGAATTAGTGGGAAATAGGTTTGTAAAACAAAGTCAGCGTTTTTGGCAAAGCAATCTATGAAAGAGCTGGCCTAAAATTGGTGACCAGCAAGTGCCCTCCAGCAAAGGCACCAGGTGCCTGAAAATCCCAGATAGCGCTGGAGAGCCTACGCTTGTGCAGGGCTTCCCTCTCGATCCCTCAGGGATAAGTCATTCTGGAGAAGAAGCCCCGCGGGAGGCCGGCCTGCCCACCGCCTCAGCGGGCATGCCCACCTAGCCCCGGGCAGCCGCGCCATGAGGCCCGCTTGGTTACAGACCCGGGGGCAGGGGTGGGCACACGGGTTGGGGTTGGGGGGCTGGCCAC